TGTTCCGTTAAGGACAAGAGATGTGGCTTTCTCTCTCCACGCCAATGTGAGGATTATCCTGTAGTTAGAACCAACAGTATTTCAGGGTTATTTACTATCTTGTTGATATTCCAGTGCTTTCTTCATCTTTTGGCACATGTCACCTTCTAAGCTTTGGGAGCATCTCAGCAATTTCTCATCAACCCCTTCGATTGCATCAGGCTTCAGTGATCACAGATGGGAAGATTTCTTTCTCCTTTCATTGAAAATTAGTACAACTCAGTAGAATTCCCCAACGAGTTAGAAGTAAGACATAGTATCTATTTTTTTAAAAGTGACTCAACATATTTACTTTATAAGGAGAAACCAGCGATGGAGAGAGTTTAATGTGCTGAATAAATGTATTCAGGTGATTTCTCTGAAGACTCTAATGGCTGTGGCACAAATAGATAAAAACTAAAGGATGCTGCCAAACACATGCTCAAAATCTGGGGAACTTTCGACATCTGGGAAAGAGGTCATGGAAGATGTCACAGAGCAGGGACCACTGAACTGTGGAAATAATGTCCTGTGGTGGTAAATGTTGGGATTTGAAGGGAACTGTATCTGGCTTTGAATTCTTTACCTCTTTTCAAGACTCCAAGCAGAGCACCTGCCTCTTAAGTTCACGTAACAGACATAAAGCAATCACCACAGTGCCCTAGCATGACAGGTGCATAACAAAAAGATCTCCTTTCCTCTTTAGCTCTGCTCCCTTCATCCACAAGTATTTATCAATGACCTACTATGTGCCCATCATTCTATCTATAAAAAAGTGAACAAGATTCAAAGGCCCTGCCTTCCTGGAGCTTACACTTTAAAGGAACCGACAAACAACAAAATTATAAACTAGAGTACAACTTCAGAGACTAGGTAAGGAAGAGATGGTGGCGGACAGAAGGACTAGCAGGTGCTGGGAAGGGGACTCTTCTTTTGCTAAGATGCTTTCTTGGGGAAGTTGCTTTAGTTCTGATTTGACTCATAAGAAAACATGGTGACACAAAGCCGTGGTTAGGCCACTGAACACCTGAAAGAAGAAAAGTTATTGGAATTCTTTCTAGGGTTGTTTCTCCACCTATAAGTCACAGAGCTGGGTTAAATCTATGGGGCTACTCTGGAATTTTCTCTCTTCCTCAGTATCTTGTTCTATGAATAATTGGAGGAAGAGAAGGGGGAAATTCTCTGAATCAAACTCTACCATGGTAGTTGTTTTGTTCTTGTACTCTATTTCCTGGCATTTAAAATACTGAGCTTCCTCATCATAGCTGTAATAATAAGTTCTAAGTAAATGAAGATTAATTAATGATTTTTAGAAAAGCTTAAGTCATCACAGTTTCTAGCGATCCCATTGTTGGAGCAGACAAGAATCACCACATGGCAGATTTTGAAGGATGAATTGTGTGGCTTCACAATTACTTCATGTGTGGCTTCACTCTGAAATTGTACATATGTTCATGCAGCCAGTGTGCAAAGCTGCCAGAAGTGAGCCGATCCAACAGTCTATTTGCCAAGAGCCATGTGCACAGCTTTTAAAAACAATCCCTAGTCTGAAATGTTTCCTTTCCTAAAATGGTGCAGCAGACCTCACTTGGGTCTGAGAGAGTGTCTCCCCAAAGTGAAGGCCATGTTTCAGAGAACTTGCGCAAAAGCGGGCTTTGTCTTCCAGTTAATCGAGCCCTTATCGCCAAAATATCCCTGGCCATCACAGTCCAGGTGATCGTCTCATTGCTCCACTCTGCCTTTGTCACCATAACGTAGACCAACTTCTGGACCCACAACCCAGAACAAGAAGCCAAAGTGCACAGCAATATAAAATGCACAGGCCAACTTTTCTTTTCTTTTGCTTTTTTTTTTCTCTTACTTTGCATGAAATGTCCCCAAATTTCAAAACACATCTCTAAAAATTACTTAGAAAATGAAGTTCTCAAGGACTGAAATGAAAACTGAGATTCAAGGAAACGTAAGAACAGAAAGGAGAGTTAAAACTTGAAGCTGATTGGCACGTAGTAGAGAAAGTTGTAGAGTAATTTCACGATACTTCTCAGGGCTCTCCAGAGAATGGTGGTGAGCTGCTGCCCAGGGAGAGCGGAGGAGAAAAGGGAATTGCTGCAAAGTAATGTCCCCAGCATTTTACATACATTGGCTCCTCACCATGACCCTAGCGAGTGTAGTGCAGCTATTGCCTCATTTATTTTACAGCGGAGGGACTGATGCCCAGTGCATTTAAACCACAGGACACTCACTAGCTAGTTCTTAACCCTAGATTGCCCAGCTGTGCATCGTGCTTACTTTCTGGTCTACACACTGCCTTAGAAAAATAAAGGGCATGCAATACACATTCTATTTAAGGAAAAGAAGAATGTGCTGCAAGATTTTAAATGTTGAATGCTCTCCTGAGGGGAGAAGCTGAGGAACTGTCTTCCTCAGAGGTCTATTAAAACCAGATCTGTTATCATATGTGACTTCAGTGTGGTCCTTTTCAAAGGTGAAAAGATAAAACAAAAATGATTCTTCAAGTTCTCCTTTCAACTTCCCAATCAAAAGCCAAATCTACACCTACACCAAGAAAAATAGCAGGGATATACAGAGTCTAGCCCTTTTGACCTCCCTGGGGCTACCCTATACTGGAGGGTTCGGCAGAAGTGGTATTCCAGTTACCCAGATGAGCCATTTTCTCTTGGATTACGATTGCTCTGACCACTTTCCCACAACCAAGAAGGGACGCAGCTTGGTTCCAGTTTGTGCCCAACAAAATGCACACCATTCCAAAGAAAATATTGTCTAATTTCCAGTGTTTTGAAAATATACAAATCAGGGCACAACCTGGCGTGGAAATAAGCACTGTTAGAAAATAGGAATGACTTTTAATACTCTCTTATATGTATCAGTTAGGATTGTACTTTTCTGTAACACCTGGCTTTCATTTCTGTGGTGTCAGTATAGCTTCTGTGCGTATGGGGTTGAGTTCATACTCCATACAATAAATAAAAGATCTTTTCCCTGTCAAACCTTGTCTTTTAACTTGGGATGAGACGCCCTCTTCCCAGACCTGCCACAAGCATCTTATTGCCCAAACATAAAATAGCCATGCCTGGCTGAAAGGAAATCTGAAAATCCATATATTTTGCTTCCCAGGCTTTCATATAGAAAAGAAAGCAAGGGGAAAGGGAGTTGGAATGAGTCTTTAGTGAGTACTTATCAAAATATGCTATAAATCCCTATGCTTGGAAACTATACATTTGGAATTTGATACATAAATAAGACTATACTACATAAACATTTTACCTACTGCACCTATTTTTTTTTGCATCTATTTTAATAATTAACCCTTCTGGATGTGGAAATATTTTTAGATTAACTGATAAAGGCAGGAAGGGACAGAATTCTACCTGATGAAATGGATTGGGGTGTCAGATTCAGCTCTGAATTCCGGCTGTATACATAGCCAGGCATCAGATGCCTCTGGATCTTCATTTCTTTGTATTGAAAATGAGGGCACCAATAGCTACCCATAGGAGTGCTTTCAAATCCAATGAGCTATCAAATGAGCTGTATACTGTATGAAGAGCCTGGTACACAATAGGCATTCAGGAAATGGTAGTTCACTCTTCCCTCACTTTATACCTTAACCAACAAATTCATAAAACTTCACAAAACTCAACTGAGACAGAGTTGACAGTTGAAGAGCCAACCCTGGACAAGAAATATGAGCAAATCCCCTGAAAGGTGTTAGCTCCCTGTCAGTGCACACCAAGCTGCTTTGTTTGGGATTTCATCACTTTATCTTAGCAAACCAGACAAAAATGCCGAGGCAATTTTGTTTTCCAAGATGCATCGTATGCTTCAAAGTGCCATCTGCTTGCAACTTGTTACAAAACAGTCCTTTGGTGACATTTTAAAGAAGTGACTGCAATGTTTGTTACCAAGGGATATAATTCCTAGAATTGGTGGGATTTGTTCTGTGTTGTTGGGATGTGAAATGAAGCCTTCACGGGGCCTCTGGGCTGTTTCAATACATTATCCTCGTCTTAACCATGGAGCCAGGTTTCCAATTGGGTTCTTTTCTATTTTCATTCTCTCGCTGCATTACTCTGATCTTTTCAGTTAAGATGGATTTTCGAAGCTTGTCACCTTGTAGTCACCACTGCAAAATCTAAAAGTCAGGAGCTAGTGAATAAGCCAAAAGAGTCCACAGATTTACATAGCCGACAGTGTAGCCTTTAGCCAATGTTTCCTCACTCTAATATGGCAAGGTGAAAACAATTCTGGAGCACAATTCAGTTATGGACCCTTTAGCCTTATTCTCTCTTTTCTTATCTAGAAAAAGGAATGAGCGAGTCTGTCCCACCCATCATCCTGTCTGATGTGAAAATCATTGAAATACAGTTCCCATGAGGATGAATAAAAGCTACAAAATAGAGCATGATTTTGGTACTTTCCTTCTACTGGAGAAGTTGTTACCATGTTGTTGCCCATAATGAATCCAATACACTTCTCAATCTCTCACCTGATTTCTCACCTTATACTTACCGACAAATTTTCTTCCATTACTATCTCTTCCATATCTTTATACCTACTCCTAGACGATAGACTGGATTCTGCTTGATTACAGCTATTCAGACAATCCCACTCTCTGCAGGAAGACCACCCTTTCCTAGCCCATGTACAACTAAATTGATTTTTTCATGTTCATTGAAAAAATATTTGTTAGTACCTATCAAATCAGAGATGATTTAAGCACAAATCCCTGCTCTATTAGAGAAAGCTTTTCACTGCTCTGGCCTCATGAGAAACATCAGAAATCCAAGATCATGCTCTCTTTTCTCATGGAGCAACCTCCTCAAGTATTTCTTGCTGTCCCTGTCCTCATGAACTCCAATCGCTTTGCAAATCATGATCCAAATCATAGTGGATGTTACAAATCATTAGCCCTAGTGGTTTCTGTCTTGTGATTGTAATATTTGTGAGAAGCATGTAATCACCTGTCTTCCCCAAAACTGATAATCTTCATGCACCCAGTGTTGCTAACTTCAGGGCAGAGGTGAAGAGGAAGCTCCTGCCTTAGGTTGAGTTGTCTGGTTCCCAGAGTAGTTGTGCTTGTACCCAGAGACTCGAGTCTTTACTGGAAATGTCATCTTGAAAAGTTCTCCTGGAAACATTGCTTTCCCTGGCTGACATTAACAACTTTCTCCATGACTCTTCTATACCAGTCACTGCAAAGAGAACAAAACAGTTTGTATCCTCCAGTGCCCTTACAGCACTTTTCCCCGTTCAGATAATGTGCGTCCACATCATCCACCCCTCCCACCCACCTCTGTCAGTCTCTGCCTTCTGGTTGACCTCAGCTAGGGCACTCTAACAATGAAACCTGGAAAATCAATCTAAAGCCTGTGCTTTCAAGTGGGTATAGTTTGAAAATAATCATTATCTATACTCCAAAGCTGTAAAGTTATTTCTGAGCTTTACCAATTTGAAGATACAAATTAAAGGCAGAAACAGTTGGCCAGAAACATCTGAATGCTTCCAAGTAGCAGCCTCTGTAGCATCCCTGCAGAGAGACAATTTGCTTTCTTTACCTCATATTCATCCTGCAAGATACTTTAACCCAGGTCCACTTCCCATGGAAAGACAGAGATGCATGATGGTCAGAGATGGCTCAAAGGAGGCAAGTCAAGATTATTTCAGAATGGAAGAGACTTGATCGCTTGTATTGGTTGAAAATGATCAGCCAGTAGTAGAAACTGACTATATCAGAGAGTGGGAGAAGACTGGGCCAAGGGATCTGGGAAAGGCAAAAGGCCAAATGGGACAACCAACTGGGTAGAGAGCTTGGTAGTGAACAGGATCAGTTTTGACTCAACCCTGTATCCACTAAGCAGGAGAGAAATAAGTGAAGAAGGACAGAAATGTGAATCAATTAAAAAGGTGGGGAAATTTCACAGGCTATGACGATGCTCTCCGTTTTTCTCTAGGAGATTAAAACTGTCACCGTAGCCTAACATCAAGACAGTGAGCACATTAATGTGTACTGAGAGAACCCTAGGCTGGTGCTTGGTGTAGAGTAAACACTAGAAAAGAAAATTATACCCATTTCTTTCTCTCTTTGACAGATTGAATTTTGTAGACCTCATATAAAAATAGCCCACAGCACTACCCATATACTTGCCTTTTAAGTGAAACACATGTGCCTTTCTGAAACTTGTATTTATAGCCCTAAACTATGACTTCTTCAGACTCATTTTGAAAATACTTTGACCCAGTGCCTACACTTAGAGACATTCTCTGACCACATAGTCTCTCTTTTGTGACCCATGGATATGGAAAATTCTGGAAACTTGCCAGAAAGAGGCTATGTAGGAAGAAAACTAAACTCTGGAGCTTTTGTGTTCAGTGTTGTAAAAATGGTTCCTGACATGACAAGTGAGAGAGATAATCAAAAACATGGGCCATTTTTATGTCTGGCCTTTGAAAATTTTTAATAAGCATAAGCTTTTCGGAGCCAAGTGAAGTCTCTGGGTTCCAGTGTTTCAGAACTAGTGTTTTCCTTTGATTGTTTGAAATCACAAGGTTGGTTGGGGGACCTTTCATGCTATGATTTGAAGGCAGCTGGCACACAGACGACAGCAGGTATTGGAGCTCAAGATTCCTCTTCAATTTGTCCCACAGCTCCTCACCCAAACAATGAGGGGAGGAGTCCAGATCCAGCCAGAACTTCAGGGCTCCCACAAAGAATTTTTTCCTGTGAAAATAAGGGTTAGGAACTTGGGATTTAGGATTCACTGAAAACACTATTCTCTCTCTCTCTCTCTCTCTCTCTCTCTCTCCCTTCCCCAATCTCTTAAAAGTAAGAACTTATCTCTCTGGCTTATCTTTTAGAAGTCATAGTCACCCACATGGCCAGGATTTATTACATACTTACAAAGTCCCAGACACAGTTGTAGGCACTTGGGGAGTGATCATAGCCAACAAGCTCCGGGCCCTTAGCATCCAGTTGAAGGTACATAGACACACAAAGCACAAAGACATACAGGATAGAAGGACCATGAGGAAGAAAGTGGCGAAAAGGACAGGTACAGTGCTTTAGACAGGTGGGCCAAACAGAGCTGGAAGCAAGGCAGCAAGGCAGTGTGCAGCAGGGAGGACTGAGTTCAATGAAATCAGCGTGTGGAGCAGAATTCTGGAATGAAAAGTAGCAAGCAAGAGAGGAGGAGGGTGGACTATGCCTGGCCAATTCTAGGAACAGCAAGGATACCAGGGTGGCTGAGATACATGCCCTGGGGCTGAGGTGAGGTCAAAGGAAGTGAAAGGAGACCATCTGCAAAGGCTTGAACTCCCCCAGAAGGAGAGCTATGGCAGAGTCCAGAGCAGAAGAGTGCCTGGCAGATTCTAACTGAAATTCTGAAAGCTGAGGGGAAGTGGATTCTGTCATCCTTGCTCTGGTCACCCGCAGGCTGGCCAGAAACTCTCAAAAACAATGACAGGTCACAAGAGGAAGAAGTCACAGGTCAAACTAACGTGGACTTACATGAAGGCCATCTACCTTACAGTTTATATTGTACATTAGATTGCCCCAACTGGGGACAGACAAGTTACATCACAGCTTGGTAATAAAATGTAATTAATTTGACTAAGGACTATTCTATTTATGGCATTGTGTTTCACTCGCCAGAAAACTCAAAATACTGGACTATTGTGTTCAAAACCTGGGAGCCAGAAGAAAAGGCTGTTTGCCTTCCTATTCCCTGGGCCACCTTTCCTGATGCTCTGTATTATCCCCCGGGAGCAGGGAGGACATCCACATCCCAACCCCGTTCAGCCGGGGCCTGGGATCCCACTCAGGAGTCAGTGGCTAAAATTCCATGTATTAAAAGATGCTTCTCCACTTGGCACAATCTCTTGAGAATGGAGCTTGTTTTAGGAACTGTGTAGATGGAGACTGGAGGACCGATAAACTAGTGCGTTAAAGACTTTAGAGGTGAAAGGTCACAAGACCCAGTCAAACACTGTTCATCAACTTTGTAGCCTTTATTTAATTTTTTCATTTAACCGATGCATATCCCTAATGCACATTTAGCTCTGTCCTTGATGCCTGGGACTCAGCAAGAAAAAGCACAGGCAAACAATACCTGCTTTCATGGAGCCTCCGTCTTAGGGGAGCAGAGAGAAGACACAAAAAAAAGCAAGGTAAAGATAAAGTATGTTGGTTCATGGTGTATGCAAGGAAAGGGGTGAGGAGTGGCTCGGTTTGCAGCTTAAAGAGGAGAGGGCAGTGGAGTCTTCCTCAGCAAGGTGAGATTTGAATACAGACTGAAAGAGGTGGGAGAGCAAAGTCTCAGTCACTTTCTCAATACCTGACTCGCAAACTTAAAGGAGGAGAAGTTTATTCGGGCTCACATTTAAGTCTATAGTTGGCTGGCTTCAGAAGCATGGTGCAGGAACAAAGTCGCCCAAGTCATGGCAGCCAGCCAGGAAGCAGAGAGCAAAAGGAGGAGCCAGAGACAAGAATACGCCCTTCCAAGTCACACCTGCAGTGACCCGCCTCCTGAGAAGAGGCCCCCTGAGTCAGCTATAATGCCCCAATTTTTCATTCCTCTTCCAAAAACGTTAGCTCTTCATGCTTAAGGGGTAAGGAATCTTAGGGAAGAATTTGAAAAAACAGTACTAAAAATAAGTTATGGCTTTCTGCAGGGAATATCCATGCAAGTTATAGTTGGTCACAGTGGGAAATAAAGCAAGTTGGGAAAAACCCCAGAGAAAAGTTATTCCAAACTTTCCTGGAAATCTCAAGAAAGGAATTCTCCACTGTGTAAGGATTTTTAAGGTAATAGATCAAAATTCCCTGTAAGTATCCAATCTCCAATTGAATTCATGATTAAGAAATTGACAAGCACTGATGAATACCTAGTTAGTATCCAGCACTATCATGCAAATAGGAAATAACAATTAGCCACAGTTCCTACCATCGCCCTCCCCAAGAGGCAATCTTTGTGGGGACTTCAGCTAGCATATCTTCAATTGAAAGTGACAGAATCCTGACTCAAATTATATCAAAGCAAAAAAGGAACTGTTTTGGGGTCAGGGTTTCAGAAAGAGAGAGAGAGAAAGAACACCATGAAGGTCCGCATTCCTGTAGCTCAGCCTTCCAGTAAAGAAGAGCACCATCTCCCAGGGTTGGTGACTCACAGGGCCAGGTCTCAGTGGGCTCCTTCAGTTGTCCTCCCATCAACTAATCACTGCAACTGGAGCAAGGGAGTGGCCTTAAGATACTGACAGATACATTGTGAAATGGGAAGAAAAGGGCTAAAGGTGAGGGAAAGTGGGAAGGGTAGGGAAAAGGTAGTAAGGGAAAGGAAAAAAATAGGAGAAAATGAAAAAATGGAAATAAAATGTTTGTAAATGGGGAGGGGAGGTGGGCGTGAAGGGAGGGCAGGGACAAGGGGAAAAAATGAGAACCAAGACCTGTCACATAAAGGTACAAGATCCCAATAATAAATGTAACTGTACTGTATACATAAAATGTGCCAATAAACTCATGAGGAAAAAAAAAGATACTGACAGATGGAACCTCACCTCAGTACAGTAGGTGCTGAGTACTGAAAACAGGGAAGGTCTCAAAAGAAACCTAGAAGACTCTTCTAGAAGAGAGAACAAAAGATCAGGCAAATAGCAAAAGTTAGCATCCTTCACTGGGGCATAACAGCTCAAACCCTAGAGCCCAGCACAAATTGGAATAGAGCTGGGAATCCCATCAGCCTCTCGTCCTAAGGGCAGGGCTATTTCTTGCCTCTGAAGGGGAAGTAATAAAGATAACATTGCCTGTGTCTCACAGCCACAATGCAAAGTATTAAAAAGTAAATGACCTAATGTTCACACATATTCCTTATAAATATGTGCAAGTAAATTTGTATATTATATACAAACAAGACCCGATGAAAGATTTATGGATGAGGTGGGACCTTAGTTTGAGCTGAAAAGGGGGGAAACAGGAATGGAAAGAAAAAGAGGGAAGAGGTGCCGTTCCTTGGGTAGTTGACTCCACAGGCAAAGGGATTTCCATTAACACAGCCATACGGGTGACACCGTTTTCAAAGTTGTCATTTGCAAGAATGAGTTAAAGCAAAGAGTTATAGATTTGTCCTCCCTAGCTGTGTGACTTTGGGCAAGTTACTTAACCTCTGGTTGTATCAACTTACTCCTTTATAAGGTGAGTGCCTCAAAGGATTATTGTGAGGATTAAATGTGGTGATATAAGTGAAGCACAGGATATATTGAAGTTCTATAAATATTAACTATCATTAGTGATTCTCTATACCACTGAGTAGATATTCTTACCCCCGTTTTCTGTGTTAAAACCTGACACATAAGGAATTAAGTAGACTAAGTGAGATTTGAGACCAAGTCTGACTCATGCTAGAACTCACATTCTTTCTTTCCCCTGAAACATAGCGGGGGGAGGGGTTCCTGAGTATCCAGGAATTGAGTATCTTGGATTGCAGGACTTTACCAGAGTTTGAATGAATTTGTTAGAAATATTTTCATAGACCCACTGGACTAAAAATGTTAGGGACGTGCCATAGTTGCTAAACTTCATGGAATTGTGCTTCCTTTTGATTCCCTAAATCCCTCTACCTATCCAGACATCAGGAACTGACCCCACTTCCTGCCAGGAGCCTAAGATTCTCCCCTCACCGGAACCACAGCCCACAGCTCTGTACATCAGGGAGGCACAGATACACATAGTCTCACTCAGTGTCCTCTTGCTCCGGAATTGAGTGGACATAACCATCCTCCCAGCCCCACAGTACAGACAGAGACAGAGGCAGCCAGCATGTGAGCAAGACTCACCCAGGGCCAGTGCCCTTCCAGCTGCCTCACAGACAGCAGCCCCACCGAGGGCAGTAGCCCTGCCTTCCACATCCCATAATGACTGAGGTCATCCACGTCCCTCTGTCTCCCAGCTCAGCTTCTCCAAGGTGCCCCAGATGCAGCCTTACTGCTCCTGGTCTGATGTCACGAGGCTGAGGCAGGGAGCACAGAGGGTGTGAAGGGGCAGGTGCTAGGCCGGGGGTATCTTCCTTGCTTCCCTGTAGGCCTGTTTCCTTTCTCTATCTCTTAGCAATAAATACCAATAATTATAAAAATAAGCCAGGAGAGATTTCCAAGAGGAATTTGAGTGAAAGGAAAGAACAGAAGTGAAAGTGACCAGAAACAGGTGTCAAAGCCTGGGAGTTTGCTACCCTTAAGCCAAACAATCACCATAACAATTGCAATGAAAGCATGCAGAGACAGAGACCCTGAGGTCCAGGAGCCACAATCCCTCCCAAGGTTCCTTCCTATGAGGCCAGAGCCACAGACCCTAGGCTGCTAAATCCCCCTGGTAAAACTAAATAAGCATTCTAGGCCAGAAACTCCCAACCCCAGCCTTTCTCTCCTTGGCGCTTTATAATACAGACTCCCGGTTCCCTGAGCCTGAAGATCTTGAATCTGAACTTTTAGGGTGGGGAGCAGGCATCTCTGGGTTTCAGAGGCTCTATAGAAATTCTGGGGAGTGAGTAATTTCCTTGCTGTGTGACTCAATGCAAGGAAGTTCACCTGTCAGAGCCTATTTCTTAGGGTTGTTGGGACAAGTGGATAACTAACCTAAGAGCATTAGAACTGAGACAATGCCACTTACTCATTCATCATGTGTTTATTGAGGGCCTGCTGTGTCCTGGCCTTTTTCCAGACGTGGAAGACACAACAGTGAACGAGACAGAAATTCTTGGCCGTAGGGATCTTCCTTTGCGGTGAGGAAAGACAATCAAGCAGCAGCCATGGACCACATCAGACAGCAGCTGCACAAAGCCAGGAGGAGCAGGGAGTGGGTGGGTGGGGCCAAGGTAGGAAGGGTCTGTGTCACTCAGAGGATCAGCAAGAAGCTCCTGGATGCCCACCTTTCAGCAGGGCTCTGAATGGCATGAGGAGATGGAGACAGAGAAGGAGGTGAAGGAGGAGACGGACAAGGAGGTGGAGGTAGAGAAGGAGATGGAGAAGGAGAAGGAGATGGAGAAGGCCTGGCTGTGGATGACAGCAGAGCAGCGCCTCTGAATGGCAGGAGCTGGGATCTGACAGCAACTGCCACAGAGCACCACGGAAAGTATCTTGCAGGGAAGAAGAAGCCCCACCTGGAGGTCAAATGAAGTAGTGCAGGTGCACATTACCTTTTCTCAGAGGAACCAGCAGCTAATAACCATCTGGAGAAGTTGGGCAGACCACAAGTATTCAATCAGTATTTATTTACTGAGCACAAACAAGAGTATTCTATTTTATTTTCCCCAAAGCAAGCCCTATGACAAAGAAATGGGAGCAGGTCATTCATGAGCAGAAAGCAAGAAGTAGGAAAGCAGACAGAGAAGGGTAGTGAAGTTATAAAGGTGCTCCGTGAATTAACACCATGAACAACTGGGGCTTGTTCTGCCTGGGAACCCTGGGGACTGCACAAGGCAGCAGTCAGTGTGGATGGAGATTTTCCAATGCAACTGCAAATGGCCTCAAAGATGGTCCAAAGTCATGGGGCAGGACCACCACAGATTGTGCTACACAAGGCACACTCACAGACACCACACTGATGACAATTACCTCCCTGCCCGACCAGCCTCTGGGCCCAGGCTCAGGGCTCCTCTACCTGAGTGAGGACCTCTTACTCAACTTCAGGGCTGAGCAAGAGCAGCCCTCCTCTGAAATTCCCTTGGGACCTCTGCCCAGAAGCACCACTGTTCTTCTAGCACCCAGAGATGCCTCTAGGGCACTGAAGGCAAAACTTTGGGAGCTCTCAGTGACACGCGCAGCCCTCCACGCCACACCTGCCTTAGGTTCCCATCTCTGCTCTGCAGGTGCCAGAGGTGATGGCTGAGCACAGGTGCTCCAGGTCACCCTAGGTGTGACCGAGTAAGTCATGGTCCTCATGCTCAAGGACTTAGTGAATGAGGACTCCACACCCTCTGGGCTCTGAACACTCCCCAAGGTCTTCAAGGCTTTGCTTGGAAATATGCTGACTGAGAAGTGAAAGCAAGAAATATGCTAGGGAGACTTTGTTTCCATGTTTGTCCTTTTCTCACATTTTTTCCTTTCCCTTCTTTCCTTTCCCCTATCCGTCCAACTCCCCCTTCCCTTTAGCCCTTTTCTTCCTATTTCACATTATCAATTATGCACGTTGAGCCCTATTTATACTTTCAGTTTCTCATACCAGAGAAACTCTTCAGTATTTACACATGTCCTATTGATTTCACCTAAGAATACGGCCTCAATGTGCATCCATTTAGCTATAAATGGCTTGTTTCTCATTCTTTATGGCTGAGTAGTACTCCATTTTATTTTATTTTTTTAAATCTTCTTTACCCAGTCTCCAATTGATGGGCAATTGGGATGTTTCCAAATTTTAGCTATTACAAACTGTGCCTCTATAAACATGAGTGTGCACCTATCACTGTGGTACAATTCTTTTAAAAAGAAGGGGTGAAGGGGTTAAAGGAAGGGCAGGGGGATGGGGAAAAATAAGAACCAAGATATATCATGTAAAAGTATGAGTTCCTAATGATGAATGTCATTGTATGGTATAACTAAAATGTACCAATGAACCCATAAAATGGGTTAAAAAATATGCTATGGAATCAGCTTCACCCTAATTCTAAATTAGTCTAGGGCACCTATGGCTCCACCTGCTAAAGCCCAGCCCACAGCTAAGGAGTTCTGTTAACAAAGCACATGAACATTTGTTTATGGCTGCTGGTGACCACAACATTCTACTTCCAAGAAGTCACAAAAGACCACAGGAAAATAGAGTTCCACCACCTTCATCTCCCCCCAGCCTGAGCAGACCATCCTCAACCAGGCCAACAGATGAGCGCTCCCACAATTCCACTCCTTCTTCCTTTTTTTTCTCAGCTCTGGCTACTGTCACTCACCCAACAACTCACTCAGTGCTAGTTATGGGTCTCATGCTGTTTCAATTTCTGCATTACAATCATGACTAGATATGGCCTCAAGTAAAAAGCACTTTATGGGCTATAAAGATTATTCCACTTTCTTCTCCATGTATAATTGGGAAGGACCCAGGGTTCTAATGAATCCCAGCTAGAATCCACTTACCAAAAACAAAAGGCAAAGCTCATCACATTAGACTCATGTTAATATCTGTCAGTGGCCTCTCATTGGTACCCAAGGTGCTGTGTTAAATGTCAAAGCATCTTTATCAGATTCCTGCCTTCTATTCGGTTGCTATCCTCCAACGCTGACCTCACACTCTCTACTGTGAACTACCTGCAGTTACCCAGCACCTCTCTTCTATGACCATCTGGGCCCAGGCTCAGGTCCTCTGTCTGCGTGGACATCACCTATCCAGCTCTCAAGGCTGAGCTCAGGTACCCTGGCCTCTCATCACTGTCTGTCCTGGCGGGAGCCAGTAGGCAGCAGATCTCCATATGTCTGGAAGCCCCACAGACTGTGAGCAAGCCCTGCCTTCCATGTCATCTGCCTACAGGGCCTGCTGCTTTGTGACCTGGCCAGCTACCTCCATAATCTAAGCCTTGGTTTCCTCTTGTCTAGAGCGAAGATAATGTTCTAGACAGGAGGAATGTATGTATGAAGACTTGTTTCCACTTAAAGGACATGACCCACATAAAGACTCAACCCAGTTCTTGAACTTGTAGTAACCTTCAATTGTCAGCTATTGCAATCTCAGAATACTGTCACAGCAGTAGTAAATCTCACTTTATCTTAATTATGAACTAATTCAGTGATCACCTATGTCTTTTACATAACTATAAATTCAGAGGAGTCCTACAGGGTGCCTGTATTCAGATATTAAGGATGTGAGTGACTGAATAGAGATGTCACTCACAGAGACAGTGTGTGCTGACTGTCCCGACCAGACTGTACCCTGGAGCTTTTCCTACATATTAACTCATTGGCTATTCCTGATGTTCCTGTGGAATTAAAAACGTTATTACTGTCCTTGTATTCTTATCGGTAAGAAAGTTTATCGGATTTTTCTGAGGCCATGTAATCAGTGGTGGGGCAGGGATTTAAGCCTGCCTTCTACAGTTCTGGAGATGAGACATTGCTGTGCTGTTAATCTGCAGGCTGGATTTTAGGAAAATGAGGTTGTAGCTAAGGCATCTTTCATTGTCTCAAGGCCCCACAGTAATTCAGGTTTTATTCATCAAAAATGCTTTGTACACACATTTTTAATTATAAAAGGGAAAAGAAACTTGACTGGAAAAAAAAAGGAAAGGAAAACATATTTGGACTATAGATTGCAATGAGTCCTAAAGGCAGTGGATCCCACAGCTCTTTAAGGATATAGATGATCACTGTAATCTATCGTAAATCAGCCAAGTTTGTTCAGGGGTAGTAAATAATGCTGTCAACAGCATTCAATTCAGTGGACAAGAAGATGTATTTATATGAAAGGAGGCAGAGAGAAACAGAAAAGAATTAGGTTCCATTGTTTTTGGTGAACACAAGAAATCTCAAACTCTTTCCAACAAGAGACCCTAACTTTGGAGATTCTACATATTCCCTCCAACATTCAAGGAAACTCCTGGAGCCACTCAGTTACCTGGATGAATGAAGGTTGTGCTCATCGGTGTGCTCTGACCCACACCTTCCAGCCCGCTGTCATAATCAGCTCAGTTCCTAGCCTTCCTCCTGTCTGCCGTAGGAAGTATAGGTTTTTTTGCCTTGCATTAGTCAAGGAGGCCATCACACAGCAGTAACCAACAAATCCCAAAGCTCAGTGACTTTAAGCAGCACAAGTTCATGTACTGATGCTGCCACATGCTCCACTGAAACCACTGTTCATGAACACTCAGGCACCAGCCAACTTTATCATCTTCCAGGGCCACCATCGCAGCATGCGGCCCCAGACCTGGTCATAGAAAAGAGAAAGGCACAAAGGTGATTCTTGCTACCTCTTCCCACATTTCACAATCTGTGCAACTTAGCAGGCTAGGCCAGGCCTAACACTGGATGGTGATGAAAGAGGATCCTCCGTGTGTCTTAAAAGAGGAGAGAACCAGAAACACTGGTGAGCGTGCACCCAGTGCTGCATAACACAGAGAAGGAGTCAGAATACTCCTGTAAAAATCTATTCCACATTGCAGACTACCCAGGGAAATGGGAGTGAAAAATAAATGAGGAGGAACCAGAGAAAGAAACTGTATTTGTTGTTTAGGCGCTGTCTCTGGTTGGGAAAGACTGCCTGGGGTGGAGAGGGTATGGGAAGGCCATATCGTGGGGCCCCAACATAACCCAAATCTATGAGGGCTTCCTCACAAGGCATACTGACACCTGACTGGAGGGACACATCTCACTAAAGCAAGCCGAGTAGAAGAAGCAGGGTGAGCCCAGAAGCCTTATTTGAGGCCTGGTTACTGGGCCCACCAAGCCTCACTGCACTACTGTGGGTAAGACAGCTGGATGACTCCATTCGTGTCTGAGGAACGAGACAGAAACCAGATGGAGATCTTGGCTGAGTCTTAAAAAGAGGGGAAAGGACAAGAAGAAAACAAAAACAGAAGGGAGATTTTTAAAAATTAGATACATCATAAATGATCTATCACCAGAAAGCACAGAGATTGGTGCTCAACGGTCATAAATGAATTTATACCATTATTTTCCCAGGAGGGAAAAAAGTTCACAAAAGAAACAGAAGTGATCAAAAGAGAAATGAGATGAAGAGCAGTTGAAAAGTGCACTGGCAGAGCTCAGCAAATCAATGGAAGATACAAGTAAAACAATTATAGAGATGAACATCAACTGAGCAGCAACAGAAAATAAACGCTACAGAAAGCACGGGACAGGCTTAAGAAATCACACGGAAGGGAGCACAAAGGAACAGTGCAGTAAAAATGATGGCAGAGAAGACAAGGCAGACTGAAGAAAAAGGGAAGCTGATGCCCTCAAATTAGTGTTCTGAGCAGAACAAAGGAAACCGGAAAAACCTTAAATTCAAAAAAAAAAAAAAAAGAAAGATCCTTGTAATAAAAAGAACTGCCTCAAGTACGTCTACATCTAAGGAAACACCGCGTCCCAAGGGAAGTGAGCAGAATTGCTGATATCGATGATGTGAATACTATGAAGATACTGATATTGGAAGAAAACTGCTCTGTCTGGCCGGTTCCAACAGTTTATGTCCCTCCTGTTCCTTCAAGTTTCTACTACAGCACTCAACACTGGAATACGACATAGAAGGAGCCACCAATTTCTTTCTTTTTTTGTACCAGGGATTGAACTAGGGTCCTTGCAAGTTTGCAAGGCAGGCGGCAGAACCACTGAGCTAAATCCCCAGCCCAGGATCCACCAAGTTCTAAGGCAGAAGAGAACGAACCAAGAGTTCCTCGTTGGTCAACATATGCTGGAGCAATAAAAAGAAAATACGCCAACCTTCATAAACTCAACGACTGTATCAGCAAAGCCCTTCTTAAAAATATTCAATGATGAAAGCTAGCACAAGACATGAATCAAATTTAAATGCTCCACCATAAAAGAGGAGTAAAGTACTGAGTCATCTAACCATCGAATCAAGACAAAACAGTAATGGCAAGCGGCTGACAAAACAGAATGGAAATGTTATAATTTCAGGCAATTCAAAAATAATAATGTAGCTCACAAAAACTAGAAGCTTGGTGGAAGGGAAAAGGAAGATTGAAAAATCCTCTTTCATGGAAAAAAGTAATTATTGGTTAAAGTTAAAACTTAAGGAGTGCGTTAAAAGCTGAACTCCTTTTTCTTTTTTTTTTTTAACAATTGAATTTTAACGTGAAGAGTATCTTTCAAGAACTAGTATCTCTTATTATACGCAAAATATTTATCCGAAGTTCAGTAATTCCTTCACTGTACTGTTTGTTTTCTTCTAATAAATTCAAGTAAACTTACGTGTAGCAATTTCAATAAAAGTAGCATGCAAATTACTAATTTATTTTTGAAAAATCATATCCATCAAGGTTAAAAAATATATGCCTGTAGAAAATCTGGAATGATACTCATGAAATTTTGGCAAAATTATGTCTGAGAGGTGGAAGGTTTCTTTCTTGGATTTTTCCTAAAACTTTAAAATTTTCATAGCAGCTACATTTCTATTAATATAATTAGCATAGGCTGAAAAGTGCTCAGTCTCCTACAGATAATACCAGCTGCGTTGACCCCTGAAAATACTCCTGCTCCGGAGCTCCGCGTTACCCAGAGTCCCCGGCAAGACCAGCAGCGGGCTCATCTCTTCAGTGCGCCTGCGCAACCCAGTTCTCCCGTAGTGCAAGGGTCATTTGCTTCAACCCTGTGATTCTTACTCCAAACCTTGAGTGTTGGTCTCCTCTTGCCTCTCCTTCTTCCACTATGAATGTCGTATTAGTGTCTTAGGACAGATGTAAAACACTACCACAACAGAAGCGTACTCTTTCTCACGGTTCTGGGAACAGAAGCCCAAAGACAGAGTTTTGGCAAGCTTGGTTCCTTCTGCAGGCTCTGCGGGAGAAGCCAGACCTCTTTCTCCCAGCTTCGTGGAGGCCTTCAGATTGTAGATGCCTCGCTCCATTCTTGTTTATTGTCACACTGCCTGTTCTTCTGTATTTTTGCTTCTTGTATTCTCTTCTCAGGACACGTTGGATTTAGTTACATCTAATCCAGAGAACTCTTATCTCAACATCCTTAATTATATTTGCATAAACCTTATATCGGAATTAAGTCACATTCACATGTCTTTGAAGGCGACCAATCAACCCACTGCAAAAGCTTTCTGAATGATATGCAAGCCCAAACTGTGAGCTGCCTCATCTGTGCAGACCATGGAGGCAGTGAACACTGCGTTAGATGAAGGTTGCCCACAACACACAGAAGTACCACCGGTCCCGAGAGAACACATATAATTTTGAAACCAAGTATTTTTTTAATACCATTTCTTACTGAGCTCTGTGGTGTTGAGTAAGTCACTTCGCTTTTCTGAGTCTTGCTTTTCACCAAGAAAATGACCTTTAGCCTACATATTATGGTGAAGATTAAAGGAAGATTCCAGGTAACATAGTAGGTAGTTCTCGTGCTGGTATTATAAATTATATTTCAGAGATTGTGCTGGGGAGACCACCACAATAATCTTACTATGAATGAGGGAAAGAGTCAAACCTAAAGGTGTTTGCCTGAGCTGGTGAAGAGGATCATTTAAACTATATGGTCTTCTATTTTGGAGGTGTACTCGGAACTTTCAAGTGGCATGTTCAGAGCAAGCTGTCTTTTTATTCCAATGGGAAGAAGATCCTAGGAACCATGTAGTGTGAGAGAAAAGGAGCCCAGTAATCCTTGTACCAAAGCGTCAGGGTGGCTGCACTGTGAAAGAATGCACTGCCCCATGAACATCATTCTTAAACCGTGTGGCGGGAGCGTGGCACAGTCCCACAGCATCAGAGGTTCTGAGCCCTAATTCCACCGTGAACAGGCCTCGTGAATTGGGTTCCGTAATTTTTTCAGTTTAATACACATTGAGATACTGAGACCTCCAGTGATTTCCGTAATCACCCACGGAGTCTCTCAAAGAGCCCTTTTCCTCCCTGAAAAGTGTGTGAGCGACAGAATACCTGTGTGACAGTGGCTG